CAAGCAAAACAGGAATAGAGCTATGTTTAACAATAGGTGAAAATACGTCATTAAAATCAACACCATGTACCTGACTATAGCCCTTTGCAACCAATCATGCTTTGTACCTTGCATCTTCAACCCCTGGAATACCTTCCTTCCTTTTGAAGACCCATTTGCATCCAACAATTTTCTTACCTGAAGGCGGCTTCACAAGATCCCAAGTTCTATTCCGATGGAGAGATTCTATTTTTTCATTCATCGCAATCAACCACTTAGCGGAATTATCATAAGAAACTGCATCTGAGGTAGTAGGCTCACCAACTTCACTTGTTTCTTCTACAACAGACAAAGCATATGCAACCAAATTTGCATATCATTGTGGTGGTCGAATATCTCTCCGTGGTCTATCCTTAGCTATGGAATATTGCTCTTCCTTTGGAACATCTTCGTTAGTAGACTCGAGACCATCTACTGGCATTCTTTGAGTAGAAGAGTTCGACTGAAAATAATTAGAACTCCCAATCTCAAGCTCCACCTACTTCTGCGCACTATCATTTATACAACTAGTAGATTTCTCTTTGGAAAATAATATAGATAATTCATCAAAAGTAACATCTCTACTGATTACAAATTTTGGGGATTTGGGATCAGAACACCATAGTCTGTATCCTTTCACCCCAGAAGCATACCCAAGGAAAATGTACTTTTTAGCTCAATGCTCTAATTTTCCTTCATTTATATGCATGTATGCTGGACACCCAAAAATTTTTAAATCAGAATAATCAGCAGGAGTACCTAACCAAACTTCCTCCGGAGTTTTAAAGTTAAGTGCTGCAGAAGGAGCGCGGTTGACAACGTAACAGACCATATTAATCGCCTCTGCCCAAAAGTCCTTTGTCAACCCTGCATTTGAGATCATACACCTTGCTCTCTCCAAGAGTGTTCTGCTCATACGTTCGGCCACACCATTTTCCTGAGGCGTCATCCTAACAGTGCAATGCCGAACGATTCCTTCATTTTTGCAGAATTCTTCAAAGTCACATTCACAAAATTCCATGCCATTATCTGTTCGAAGCCGCTTAATCCGTTTACCTGTTTGCTTCTCAATCAAAACCTTCCATTGTTTAAAGGTTAGAAAAACATCATTTTTATGCTTCAAAAAATAAACCCAAACTTTCCAGGAATAATTGTCAATGAAAGTCAACATATACCTGGCACCACCCTTAGACTGAACATGAGCTGGACCCCAAAGGTCTGAATGAATATAGTCAAGAGTACATTTTGTTTTGTGAACTGCCGGAGAATTGAAGCTGACTCTTTTCTGCTTTCCAAAAATGCAGTGTTCACAAAAATCCAGCGACCCAGTACTCTGTCCGCAAAGTAGACCCCTTTTACTCAATATGCTCAAACCTTTTTCACTCATATGACCCAAACGCATATGCCATAATTTGGTGATGTCAGAATCAGACAATGATGATGACGAGACTGCAACCGAGCTTTTGACAGTAGTTCCCTGCAAAATATATAAGCTACGAGACCTACAAGCTTTCATAACAACAAGAGCACTTATAGAAACTTTCATAACTCCACCTTCAGCTGTGTATTTACACCCAAGGGCCTCTAGGGTGCCTAAAGAGATGAGATTCTTTTTTAAATCAGGAACATGTCTAATATTAGTGAGTGTCCTCACAATACCATCATGCATTTTAATTCGGATTGTTCCTCTACCAACAACATCACATACGACATTATTGCCCATCAAAATAATTCCACAATTACAAGATTCATATGTGGAAAACAAATCCCTATTGGGACACATGTGATAAGAACAACCCGAATCTAAAATCCATTCATTTTTAGACATCGTCCTGTCATCAGTAGCAAAGAAAATATTTTCAACATTCTCATCAGATACTACACTAGCTTCAGCAGACTCAGTAGTTTTCTTAACAAGTTTTTCCTTTTGCTTTAATTTATTTTTCAATTTAAAGCAATCAGCCTTAATGTGCCCCATTTTATGACAATATCTGCATTCCAAATTTCTATGTCTAGATTTAGATCTACTACTGTCAAATTCTCTTTTATCCATTCTACCCCTGACAACCAGACCCTCAGCCTTATTCCCTCTACTTTCCCCAGTGATATTCCTATCTATCTGCTCCTTAGATTTCAGTGCAGATTTAATTTCTTGATACGAAACTGTTTCTTTTCCATAAATCAAAGTATCACGGAAATGCTTAAAAGATTGGGGAAGTGAACATAAAAGTAACAAAGCCTTATCCTCATCATCAATTTTTGCACCTATATTCTCCAAATCCATAACCAAAGAATCAAACTTATCAAGATGTGAGAGTATAGATGTACCTTTAGTCATCCGAAGCATATACAAACTTTGCTTCAAGTAGAGACGATTCTCCACTGTCCTCTTCATGTACAAGGCTTTAAGCTTGTCCCACATGCTCTTAGCCGTAGTCTCCGTAGCTACCTCCCGTAAAACCTCATCAGAGAGATTTAGAATAATGCTGGATCGGGCCTTCTTATCCATACCCACAAAATCTTACTTTGATGTACTATCTGGAATGTTCTCAGCTCCCTGTAGTGTCAAAACAACTCCGTCTTGAACCAGAATGGCCTCCATCTTGAGTTGCCACATGCCGAAGTTGACATTTCTGTTGAATTTCTCGACAATGATCTTTGTTATTGTCTTTACGTGGTTTGGTCAATTAACTTTAACCTACATCCACGGACGAAAGAGGAGCAAATCACTACTATGAAAAAAGAATTATTATAAATGCCTTAGGAAGATGTTCCTAGGCCATAAAACACCCGAAAATACTAAACAAGAAAAACCCAAACTATAAGTCCAAACTATTTAACTGAGTGTGGACTTAAACCAAAGTAAATACTTAGGTTTTCTTGTGGTGCATCTGACTTCAAAACCCAGACCCTTATTTATAGTTCCAATAAGAAATAATAAACCTGATTTTCTCGATGTGGGACTATGAGACTTACCAAACCAGAACAAGGATATTGCTAGGATCGCTGGAGTGGGGGCCTCCCTAATTGTGTTGCTCACAGCCATCCTCGTGGTGATCGACTGCACTTGTTCTAGAAGGTCACGTGAGCATCAGCCTGCCTCAAGCTTGTCAGCATTGAGTCTCCAGCCTTTCACTTATAATGAGCTCAAGGAAGCAAGCGATGGCTTCAGAGAGGAGCTAGGCAGGGGTGGTTCCAGTGTGGTATACAAGGGGTTCTTGCAAACCGAGGCTCGAACTTGTGTCGCAATCAAGAAACTCGATAAGATATTTCCAGAGACACACAAGGAATTCATGAACGAAGTAGAAACCATTGCCAAAACATACCATAAGAATCTGGTGCGGTTGCTGGGATTCTGCTATGAAGGAGCCGAACGGCTTCTGGTTTACGAGTACATGAGCAAAGGTTCATTGATGGGATTCCTCTTTGCAAATGAGAGGCCAGAGTGGAACCAAAGGATCCCGATCGTGCTTGGAATCGCAAGGGGCCTCCAATACTTGCACGAAGAGTGCTTCAGTCAAGTCATCCATTGTGACATAAAGCCTCAGAACATATTGTTGGATGACAATTTCACTGCAAGGATATCGGATTTTGGCTTGGCCAAGCTTCTGAGGATAGATCAGACTCGGACAAAGACAAATATTAGGGGAACCAAAGGCTACGTCGCACCCGAGTGGTTCAGGAACACAGGGATAACAACGAAGGTTGATGTGTACAGCTTTGGTGTGGTGCTGCTGGAGATCATATGTTTCAGAAGGAATGTGCGACCTGAAGCGCAAAACGACGAGGAGTCCATACTGGCATACTGGGTAAATGATTGCTTCAGAGATGGTAGATTGGACTTGGTCGTCGAGGGTGATGACCAAGCAATCTATGATATGAAGAGGGTGGAAAGGTTCGTGAAGGTGGCCCTTTGGTGCATCCAAGAGGATCCTTCGCTGAGGCCAACGATGCAGAAAGTAACTCAGATGCTAGATGGTTCGACGGCAGTCCCTGGACCGCCTGATCCTTCCTCCTACATCAGCTCGATTCAGTGAGACCTATTCCTCTTACATCAGCTCGATTCAGTGAGACCTACCTGTCCCTTGGTTTTGCATAATGACTCTCGTGGCGTATTTCTGACATGCTTTTCCATCTATTTATGCTCGGTCAAACATGCTTGACGTGGGAGTATCTAATTTATTATAATTTACACCTATGGATTTTGTTGATGCTATGTTATTTTTTTCAATCCACAATGTTATCTCATAGTCTTCAACTCAGCCCACAGCTCATGAGCATATTCCCCATATATAGCTGTTTCAAAGTACTTTCTTTATAACTAAAGATCGCATTAAAGGAGTTAGTTACCGACTATAAAACACTTAATCTCATAATTTTCTATGCATGAAGGGTTGTTTCATGCACTAATATTTATTTTGATATTTTAGGGTTAGAAAAGAGTTTAGAAACTAATAATATTTTGGCAGAAGCTCTCTTGGAGTTCTTTCTAAAACTCTGTACCTCTTGGATGCTTCTTTGAATAGTAAGTTTTTTATTTTCAGTTTTATATCCTTGTTTATTATTCTTGGGGTGGTGAACTTTCTATATCCCTTTGTGATTTTAAACTTAGTGGTGAACTATTTTTCGATCTTATTAAAGTTTTATCGTGAGTTCGTTCCTTTTTTGTTCGAAAAACTTATTCCAATAAATACAACTGTACCATCGACTTTCTTTCAAAATCTATTCTGTATTCCCCCCCTATCAGAATGAAAAAGATATAGTTAGTGAATATAGTGGTCATGAAGATGATGTTGAGTCATTGAAGCTATAGCTATGAAGATTGCTACGTAGTCTACAAGAAAAAAATGAAATCATTAAAGAACTTCGAAGTAGGAACAACTAGCATGAAAATGATGTCTAAAAGTTTACTTTTGATGATGATAGACCGAAGTCCAAGATGAGTGGCAGAACAAATACAACCCAAGATTGGATATTTCGAAGTTTGAAGGTAAAATCAATGTCGATGACTTTATCGATTGACTTAATACAGTAGAAAGAATTTTCGATTATCATGAACCACCAGAATAAAAAAAAGGTAAAACATGTGACACTCAAACTAAAAAATAATGTATCTTTTTTATGGAAAATTTTGAAAAAGTAAAGAGAATATGAGGGGAAGAGTAAGATCATGACATAGGAGAAAATGAAAAGGGAGCTAAAGTTAAAATATTTACCTGACAACTATAGGTAATAGATCTTTCTTAAAATCCATAATTTCAAGCAAAAAAATCATAGTGTGGAAGAGTATACTACAGAATTCAATAATCTTATGTTAAAAGAAGAGCTTGTGAAACCAAAAAAATAAACCATTGCAAGATACTTAGAAGGTTTGAAATATGAGATTACTAAAGTAGTTCAACTGTAGCCATATTAGTTTTTAAATGATGTGAGCAAGCTAGTTTTAAAAGTTGAAAAGCAGTAGAAGTTTGAAAAGAGTTCTCGGTACGAGTCAAAAGAAGACTATATAAAAGGAGAAAATTTTAAGCCTACTATCTAGTTCAAGGTGGTATCAAAGGTGCAAGATAAAGGCGAAGGATCTGTTAGCACCAAACAAACACCTAATTCTTCTATTCTAAGTGACCGAAAATACTTTAAATATTATGGTTTTAGGTATATTGATTCAGATTATCCAAATATGAGGATTGTTACTTTGGTTAAAGATCATAGTGATGGAGAAGAAGATAAAACCGACGATGAAACAAAATATGATGATGATGAGGAAGAGGTTACTTATGTTGATCATGGTTTGTCTATTGTATTACAACATAGCTTACAAGTGTCCTATGTAGCCGAGGATGAAAGTTAGGTGAGAAAGAATGTGTTTCACACTAAATGGACTTCTCATGGTAAGATGTGCTTAGTCATTATCGATAGTGGCAGCTTTGAAAATGTGGTATCTTTAGAGATTATGCAGAAGCTAAAGTTGGACACAACCCTTCATCCGTATCCTTACCAATTATGTTAGTTGCAAAAAGGAAATGACATCAAGGTAACTAAAAGATATTTAGTTTCATTTTTTATTAGCAAGTTTTATAAAGATGAAGTATGGCGTGATGGTGCTGTTGGGGAATCTTGGGGGGCGATATCACACGCATAGCGAAAGAATATAAAACTAAAATCCCCAAATTTCCAAAGTTGTGTTCATCGTCGTGCGAAGATTGGTGCACAAAAATTTACGAAACTTAAAACTATATATAGAATAGATTGTATTACCTAGGGAGATCATATATCCCTGAATCCTTGCAGATCTCTAGGTTATTTGATCTCTATCTAATAATCTCTCATGGGCTTTTATTGGATCTTGTCCATGGGATCCAATAATTCAGAGGCTTATTGGATATCTAATAAGATAGGGGCTTCGGCGGATATCTAATATCCAAACCTCTAATCATCGCAACACCTACTATATGTGTGTGACCCTCTAGGCCCAATATCGAGCTGGCCATGAGTTATACATGCCAAAACTCCTTCTGGCTTAGTGAATTATTATCTTTATAATAATTCACTCGACTCGACGACTTCAGACGTACTAGGCCACTACGCCGTAGTCCCCATACGATACAAGGGAATCCAACCCATTATACATATATATCCTTTGTTACCATGTACCTATAGTCCATCATCCATCTAATATCCTAGAGATCATATACCAAGCACGGTGCTGTCAGACCCATACGGTTTCTACTCGAGTCTCGCTCTAATCGGATTCTCCCGGGGAACTCTTTCTCTCTCAATCCTAATGACCCTGGCCAGGGATTTTTTTGAGAAAGAACACATAGGATATTCCTCTCATGACACCGAGAGTGGATGATCCTCAATCGATACTCAATAGCCCTCATAAGGTTGATTGTCACTCCCGATGACCAACTGTGCTAGATCTGGAATATCCAAACCTATAAGTCTGGTATCAAAGAGTGGAGCACTCATACAGAAAATTCTTGGTGTCTCAAGTCTAAGGACCAAATACACTACTGGGACTACAAAATCGTTGTTGACAATAAGGTATCATACAATCATCCAGC